GTTTTGGCCCCCCCCCCCCCCCCCCCAGGTATTAATACATACTCTGAGTTAATTAATAAGTAAAAAGTGATTTTATTAAATACAAAAAATAGGATTTAAGTGGTTCCAAGTAACAGACAGAACAAATTGTAAATTACCAAACAAAATAAAATAAAACACACAAGTCTAAACCTAATACAGTAAGACAATGATTACAGATGACCTCTCACCCTCAGAGATGTTCCAGTAAGCTTCTTTTACAGACTAACCTCCTCCTAGTCTGTGTCCAGCAATCACTCACCCCTCCTTGGTTACTGTTCTTTGATCCAGTTTCTTTCAGGTATCCTTTGGGGGTGGAGAGGCTATCTCTTGAGCCAGCTGAAGACAAAATTGAGGGTTTCCAGGGGCTTAAATAGACTTTCTCTGGTGGATAGTCCCCGTCCCTCCCCCTTTGTAGAATCCCAGCTACAAGATGCAATTTTGGAGTCACATGGGCAAGTCACATGTCCAGGCATGACTCAGAACTTACAGGTGGCAGCCATTGTTCACATGCTACCTTGAATGTCCACAGGTAGACTTCTTATGTGGATTGGAGTCTTCCAAGATCCATAGTCCATTAAGTGTTTCTTGATGGGGCACTTAACTTGCAAATTCCTTTCTTTAGAAGCTGACCAAATGCCTTACTAAGGCTACTTAAAATCAAACAAGTCCACAGCCAATATTCATAACTTTGAATACAAAAATGATACATGCATACAAATAGGATGAATATATCCAGTAGATCATAACCTTTGCAGAGATATGTTACATGGTATATCTAGCATAAAACATATTCCAGTTATGTCATATATACATTTATAAGCATATTTCCATAAAGCATTATGGGGTGCACCATCACAGGGACATTTTAGTGCACCAATAATTAAGGTCCAAATAGATACTTCAATTTCTGTTGCTTTGTTTTTTTAAACAAAAAAATGCTCATGCACCAGGATGCTTGATAGAAATTTTGTAACTTGAAATCAATGATTTTTATACAATATTGTAAAGCAGGAGTTTATCATGGCACAGCTGAGAGCCCTAGCTATGGTAGCATAGAAGTGCTGCCATAAAAAGATGTACCTATATAAGCAGTATTTTTTTTATTTTTCTGCAAGTTTATTTGTTCACACTTTTCCCAATGGCTTTTTTTAGGTTTATCTGTGTGATATGAAAATATGTTGTCACTTTGTTTCCTAGTTGCAGAGGACTACATAGAATATTTAAATATCGCATGGAAAAATGTTAGGTATATATTGAGGTGGATAAAGGGTTAAGTGTTTTATTACTCCTCTACCCCGATATAACGCTGTCCTCGGGAGCCAAAAAATCTTACTGCGTTATAGGTGAAACTGTGTTATATCGAACTTGCTTTGATCCACCGGAGCGTGCAGCCCCGCCCCCCCCGGAGCGCTGCTTTACTCGTTATATCCGGATTCGTGTTATATCAGGTCGTGTTATATCGGGGTAGAGGTGTATTTGTTTATTTGCTCCTAATAGCTCTTAATTTTATAACTCTTCAAGACCCCCAAATCAGCAACATACTTAAGCACATGCCTAACTTTAAATTAGTGAACAATCCCATTTGAAGTCAGTGTGATTACTCACATGCTTAACTACCTTTCTGAATCAGCACCTAGATTGTAAAAGTTCACTTGAAAGAGAGAAAGAAGTCAGAAATCATTACATAGTTGTAGCCTGAGCCTTGCAAGTGAGAGAATGTTTCCATACATGCTGTTCAGTGCTGAGCCCTATGGAATAAAGTTTAAGTCCTATGAGCAAGATTATATTAAAAGGCAATTATTTCTCTTATCCTGTTTTTTTTAATGTACTGACACTATTGAAAATGAAAGATGGGGAGAGTAGAAGCAGTATCCTAATCTGACTTTTACTTTTAGATAGAAAACTACTTGCTTCGTAATCATGAGACCAGAAAATACCTACAGGAGCAGGCATACAGGTTGCAGCAGGGCATCGTCACCAGCACCACACAACAGGTGAGAGCCTTGTGCTTTGCTGATAGCTCTTCCAGTGCTAAACAGTTGCCTCAGGGCCAAATTGTTCTATTTACACCAGCGTAACTGAAAGAAGCATTTGGCTTTTACAGCCTGGTTGGTTTTCAAAAAGGTTGTCACTGCCAAATTCTGTATTATGGACGCTGCAGAAAAACCATGTTTTTGCAGAAGCACTTACATACTACACGGACACATGCTGTGCAAAAACCTAAATTGAGCGCGCGAGAGAGAGTGAGTGTCGCATTCTCTGCTGTGCCTCCAGGACGTGCAGCATAGAAGGTTCAGCCTAGGGGAAGTGAGGAAAAGGGTGACTTTAAGCTCCCTTTGTGCCTTCCAGGTTCTGGGCTGCTGCATGGGCTAAAAAGGCCCAGATGTAACTTAGGAAGTTATGAGTGGTGCTCTAGTGCAACAGAAGCAAGGGTGGCTTTGATGGCAAGGGCTATAATTCTGGCACCTCCCACCGTGGCATACCTCCTACACTAGAGTTTGCAGGAGGGCCAGCAAAGGGGGTGTAGGGTGATCCTTGGCAGCCCAACACAGTGCCTACCCCCGGGCAAGTCTTTCCTGGCTTCTGATAGGCTGTTTACATCCCTGATACACCAGCAGAGCAGGGTGGCAGAAACTGAATGTGACAAAATGGAGTTTACTTTGAAACGGTCTAAGCCGCTTGGTATTCCAGTGAAACTCCAAAGCAAATGGAAGAGCAGAGCAGCCTAGAGGAAAGGGGGGTGGAGAGGCACTTGTTCTAATCCTTAGTGAAATCCGTAAAACGATTGCCTCTCCTTACGTTCTCTTTACAATCTTTTTCTGACTTTTGATTCTGACGTTTTTTCTTCTCCCTCCATTATGTGACAAAGCAGATGTGACAACATTGTATTATTAGAGCCTGAAACAATTTTCCACTCTCTTGACAGACAAAATGATGCACAAGGATGTACTGGTATTAAAAATTGCAAAGGCAATGCCTTTTTATTTTATTTTAGTTGTCATTCATCTATTCCATTACCATCTTTTTCATGTAAATAATTTCCTGTGACATTGTTTAGATCTTTTTACAACTTAATCGTTTACCTTTTTTTCCTCTGGAATAAAAGCACACACCCTCTTCAATATATATAAATGTGTGTAACTACAGAACCTCTAGGAAGTTCATTTTCACTATTTTTATGGTATATATAAATTACTTCTCTGTGGTATGTGATCAGGAGTAAATCATCTAGTTTGTCCTGTGTCACTGCATGATTATTCCCCCAGTATATTCTCTGTTGATTGTCCAGTCCAGTTTTTAAATTATCCAAGCAGTGGAACTTCCCCCCCAACCTAACAGTTATTTAGTTGTTTGTAAAGCCCTTTGAAGAGGAGAAGCACTATAGAGCAGCGAAGAAGGAAGGTGCTGCGGACACACTGTTGTACTAGTTGTAGATTCAACATTTTTCAAACTGCAAATATTACATGATCATGCATGTACTTGGTAGGGGTTTCAACATATTAGATAATAGCCAATTTTAATGAATTCACTTAAACTCTCTGTATTGCCCATGTACTTTTATAAGTGCTTCCTGGCCCCACCCCCAATTCCTTTAGTCACAAGTGATTGTTAAACAGAACACGTCGTCGCTCGTGCCTGCCAGGCATATTGGTCTGTCTTGCGCATCTCATAAAGGCACACCTACACTACCTTCCCACTCTGTGCCTGGAATATTTTGTATTGAAAACAAGTATTGAGCATATGATACAAATACATATTGAAAGCTTGATATAGTGCATTGTGAAAGATCTGGTGCAGCTTTCTGCTTTGGTAGCCATAGATCCCAAATGAGTATTCTTTGTGACTGAAAATCTCTAGTTTGCTAAAGAAATTCCCAATGCTTACACAGTAATGTTTTGTTCAAACAATAGAAATCATTGCTTTGTTTGAATTGGTTGTGGGGGGAGCTTAGTGTTACTGTCCAAGTTCTTGGAACAATTCAGTTTTAAGGTCGGTCAGTAAGTTTTTATGCCGTGCCAAAAAACAAAACAACCCCACCCCAACCCTAAAAAGATAACTTACAGCTGTGGGGAAAAACAAAATTAATAATAATAAACAATTAATAAAGAATATGGCAGTGGTTTGTTTTTTTACTATAGTAAGAAATATATGTAATTTTTTTAAACCAGGAACATATGTGTACACACAGACTCCGATCATGCATTTCTAGAGCTTTTGCATCCCAACAGCAATTCCCACCATGTTCATTTTGATTTGGAATCTGGGCTGAATCCCACAAAGACCGATATTTAACTTTTTGTTTGTTCAGCATCATTTCTTTGCAATTTAACCCCTTGTCTATTTTTATATCTGCTATTTCCTCTTCATTTTTTTCTTTTGTTCTGAGTAGATGATTGACAGAATATGTGTTAAAGTGCAAGATCATCTCAACTCCTTAAGAAATTGTGGTGTGGATGCGGTACAGGAAGACCTGAAATCTGCAGAAAGGCTTATGCGGGATGCTAAGAACTCCAAAACAGTAAGCCCTTCTGAGCATTTAATAGTTGGTTACGCTGAGGAGGCTAGTATAAAAAGTGTCATAAAAGAACTATAACCCTGATTCAGCAAAGCACTTAAATACATACAAAGTCCCTCTCTTTTTCCAGGGCCTATAATAATGTATCACATGAGAGTGTTTTTCAGATTACCTGAACTGGTTATTGTTTAAAAAATGAACTTATAATATTGAAATGAATGTAGTCATTTCCATCAGTTTGTTCAGGTTTGAAGGTAGTTGGATGAAAGCTAACTTTAAAAGTTATAATATCTATCCTACAGCTATTACCAAATCTGTACCATCTCGGTGGAGCTTCTTGGGCAGGAGTGAATGGCTCATTATCCAATCCAATACAGGAGACACTGGAATCCATGGCTGGGGAAGTCACGAGAGTTGTGGATGAACAACTTAAGGTCTGCATATATGTTTTTTTCTAATATACCTTGCATATACAAATGATAACTAAACAGAGGTGTGCAATTGCATCAAGATTTTGCATTGCTATTGTGAACAAAAGACTATATCTCAAGCACGTTATGAGAACTAGAAAACCCATCAAACTTCAGTTGTATTCTTGATGTTAGTTTTGGAATATGATGTGCTTATTGCCTGGGTGGCTGATCACTAAGACAATTTTCTTAGTAAGAAGTACAAAATTAACTTAAATGTTTGGCACAGAAAGAAAAGGAGGAGGGATACACCACCTTGAATCAAGCCAGTTATTGGCACCTCCACCCTGTCTTGTGGTTTTGCCAGAGGAGGGCAACTTTTAGGTTGCAGCTGAGACTGCAGGAGAGTTATGCTGAATGAGTGAATCTCCCAGGCACCCTAGAAGGTCCCTAGCAACTTTATAGGATGTACTTGCCAGTCCGAGTGCCCCCAATGGAGCGGAAGTTGTGAGCAGCATATGCTGTGAAGACTCCGCTGCTGGGGAAGGTCTATCAGCAGAAACTTGGTCTGTAAATCAGTCCCACCAATTTCACTTCTGTCTTTTGGCTTGCATGTCTTTACCTCAAGGCTTCCTTCTAGGAGCGACTAGTTAGTTGCTGTCCATCTTTTCAAGGGGATCCTTTTAAATGTTCTTACCAAACCTACAATTCTTCCAATGGGAATTAATCCCTAACGATCTGCAGTCAGAGCTTCCCACCTGCTTAATCATTTGAAACTATACACTAGGTCCTGTGATATAGTTAAAGGAGTTGAGGAAGAGATGTGCATCCCACATAGTTCAGATCTTAAAAAAGGAGATCTGCATTAGGTCCAGCAAAGGGGCAAGATGGAAGATTTTTGCAATTCTGTGAAGGAACATTTGAAAAGTATAAGAATGTTGTTGGGGAGGGGGCGGGATTAACCCATTCATACCATACTCCTGTTCACCAGTAAGCAGCCAGGCTATGTTTGACTATATTTAAATTTATCAAAGAATCTGAAAATGCAGATTAGACTTCTGAGACAAAAATAAAATGCGTTAGTCAGTGGGAATGTAATGAAGAGCAGTAATAATAGCACATTACTAATTACTTTTCCTAAATTAAAAAAGTTAATGAGGAGGAAAATGTTGTGGATTATAGACTATTTTGTTCCCCTCTCCCCTTTATGTGTAATAAGGTGAGGATTCTGTGTATCAGTTTTTATTTTAAATCTCTTTTTGTATAACTGCTTGTAGAGGTGAAGCTAATCTCTCCACAGGGTTCTTGACTATAGAATTTCCAGGCTTAGTCATTGAAATATGCATAATCTGTTCTGTTCTCTGTGCAGGACTGATGCATTTAAGAAGGTCCTGTGCATTTTAAACAGCCTTGTCAAAGAAAAGCTACAGTTAGAATTTCATTTACAGAAGCATTGCTTGGTTGTATTGTGGTTTAAGATTGAGGCATTTACGCTTACACATCTTTAAAGCAAATGTCACTTTTTTAGATCAAGTTTAGTATCCTTTTACAATTACTTCTATTATTTGTATAGCACCAGGGGTCTGCTAGGTGCCTTATAGGTAGCTATAAAATAAAGTTCCTCTGTCTATATTTACGTGTCAATCTTCCAGGTCAGGCTGAAGACTTTTTTTTTCTTTTCTTTAATTTGAGAAGGGGATTAATCATTTTTTTGTTTTCTTGGATTGTTTCTGCTGGTTCAAGAATTTTCTTGTCATTTACCATTTGTTTGTGAACCTAGATAGGAAGCTTATGTAAATCAGCCTTATTGGCAATATTGTCCTCAGGACAGAAACTGTGCCAGAAGTATTTTTGAGTTCTGGTTTTTACTTCAGTTCCCATAGCAACAAGAGCACACCTTTTCAGGAAGTAGCCAGTGGACGCTGGAAAAGGTCACCAAAGAACCTTTGAATAGGGTGACCGGATGTCCCATTTTTATAGGGAGTAGTTATCAATGGTTCGCTGTCAGACTGGGAGGACGTATATAGTAGGGTCCCGCAAGAGTCAGTCCTGGCTCTGGTACAATTCAGTATTTTCATTAATGATTTGTATAATGGCGTGAAATATATGCTTTTAAAATTTGCAGATGTTATCAAACTGGCAGGGGTTGCAAGCACTTTCGAGAACCCGATTACAATTCAAAGTGACCTTGACAAACTACAGAATTGGTCTGAATTAAACCAGATGAAATTCAGTAAAGACAAGTGCAGAGTACTTCACTTAGGAAGGAAAATCAAATCAACTACAAAATGGGGAATAACTGGCTAGGTGGTAGTACTGCTGAAAAAGGATCTGGGAGTTATCGTGGATCACAAATTGAATATGAGTCAACAGTGGAATGCAGCTTCAAAAAAGGATAATATGATTCTGGGGTATATTAACAGTATTGTTGTATGTAAGCCATGGGAGGGAATTGTTCCACTCTACTAGGCACTGGTGAGGCTCAGCTGGAGTCCTGTGTCCAGGTCTGGGCGCCATACTTTAGGAAGGATGTGGAAAAATTGAGGGAGTCTGGAGGAGTGTGACGGTATTGCCAGGCCCACACATTCACAAATCTTGAGTCAGGCCTCAAAATTCATGTGATTGGCTTACAAATCATGACACACACACCCTATGTATATAAGATTTTAGTTTCTTTTTGTCTCCTTTGGAAATTTTAGTGTTCACATTTTCTAGATTTTCTCTGCAACCGCGAGGGCTAGCAACTTTTTTTTGTAGTAAATGAAAGTTGAGATTCTCATGTGTAATCACTTGATTCCAGGAGCTGGGCTTTAAGAAAAACACCTAACATATTGAGACTTGCGATAAAATTGCGAGAACTAGCAACAGTGGGGATCAGTCCACACATGTCTGACTTTGCTCTCAGGCCCATGTGGAAGGAAGACTCCCAACGGGGAAGCACAAAAGCCCTTCTTTCTTTAAAAAAAAAGGGGGGGGGGCCGAGGGGGATGGCGGGGTTAAAAAATTGGGCATAGGTTTTAATTTTTTTAATTATGATTAATTTTTTGAGTTAATTGCGTGAGTTAACTGTGATTAATAGACAGCCCTAATATATATATTAATTGTGATTACTCACACTTTTAATCGCACTGTTAAACAATAGAATACCAATTGAAATGTATTAAATATTTTTGGATTTTTTCCACATTTTCAAATATACTGATTTCAATTACAACACAGAATACAAAGTGTACAGTGCTCGCTTTATATTATTATTTTTTATTACAAATATTTGCACTGTAAAGATAAATAGTATTTCAGTTCACCTCATACAAGTACTGTACAATCGCTTTATTGTGAAAGTGTAACTTACAAATGTAGATTTTCTTTTTTACATAACTGCACTCAAAAATAAAACAATGTAAAACTTCAGAGCCTACAAGTTCACTCAGTTCTACTTCTTGTTCAGCCAATCGCTCAGACAAAGAAGTTTGTTTACATTTGCGGGATATAATGCTGCCTGCTTCTTATTTAAATGTCACCTGAAAGTGAGAACCTTCAATTCTTCCCCAAGGAGTTCAGTCACAAATTTAATTAACGCATTTTTTTTTAAACAAGCGTCATCAGTATGTATGCAGGCCCTCTGGAAGGGTGGTAGAAGATGAAGGGACATATGAATCTTTAGCACATCTGGCACGTAAATATCTTGCAATGCAGGCTACAGAAGTGCCATGCGAATGCCAGTTCTCACTTTCAGGTGACGTAAATAAGAAGTGGGCCACATGATCTCCTGCAAATGTAAACAAACTTGTTTGTCTGAGCAACTGGCTGAACAAGAAGTGGGACTGAGTGGACTTGTAGGCTCTGAAGTTTTACATTGTTTTATTTTTGTACATAATTCTACATTTGTAAGTTCAACTTTCATGATAAAGAGATTGCACTTGTATTAGGTGAATTGAAAAATACTATTTCTTTTGTTTTTTTCTATGCAAATATTTGTAATAAAAATAATATAAAGTGAGCACTGTGCAATTTGTATTCTGTGTTGTAATTGAAATCAATATATTTTAAAATGTAGAAAACATCCAAAAATATTTAAATAACTATTTAAATAAAATTATTTTTAGTCGCGCAATTAATCGCGATAAATTTTTTTAATCGCTTGACAGTCTATATATATAGTGGATATTCTTGCGGTAGATTCCTGAACGCCACTCAGGCAATGTACCTCTGCCTATTTCTGAAATAGGAAATTCCTGCGGCTAGGAAATTCCAGGGACATACAAATGTTCAAAGTTTTCGCGATCCCCATCTGAGGAGATTCTTGACGCCTTTTAAACAAGGAGGGTTGTACTGCGAAAGAAAATTGTGATTCAGAGCACAGATTAGCTGACCTTTGGAGGGTTTATTAGACTTCTACAACAGAGTTTTCTTTTGCTTCTTAAAACTGCAGAGGTAATGCTGAATGCGCAATGGGAACAGATGTATTGTTCTGGTAATTAGAGAAAACTATATTTGGTTATTTGTAACTTTGACATTTAAAAAAAAAGTGTGTTTGGTTATTAAAACAGGCACGTTATTCCTCTTAGTTTTGTTGTGTAAATGCTTTCAATTTTAATTTAATAGATTAATTCCAAAATACTTGTATAGTGCTCTGAAAGTACACAGTGCAGTGATCTCTCCCTCAATTAAAGCAACCATCCAAGATGCTGTGGATTTTCTAAGGGACTGTTTATTGTTTTCTCTCACTTTGTGCTACAGGCGCTGCTTGAGTCTATGGTGGACGCAGCTGAGAATCTTTGCCCAAATGTGATAAAGAAGACCCACATTCGGCAAGACCTGATTGAGGCCAGCACAGAGAAGATTTCCATTCCACGTACCTTTGTTAAAAATGTGCTCTTGGAGCAGTCTGGAATTGATATCCTCAATAAAATTAGGTATGTTAAAAGCACTGTGAAACCTGTCCATAAATATTCTGAAGATAGTTAAAGACCATGTATTGAGTTGTATTTCTGTATTGCTTGTGTATATGTATATCAGTATGTTTTCTGAACATTCCTGCATAAAAATACATATAGATACTGGTATGTCACCATACAGGCCAATTGGTTTGGTCCAGAAAATGCAAATATTTAGGTTTCTACAACAAAGTTAATTGCATCATATAGCACATATGTAGTATTTGGTATGCCTATTTTCATCATTATTTCTGTGGCTTTAAGGGACACAATCAACTTAAAAATCATATGTCTGAAAAATGTTACCTACTGTTGTTGTTGCTGATGCCTAAGATTACTATAACTGAAGAAAATTGGAAGATAACAAATACTACTGTCCACTTTACCACCTCCTTTGTTTTGGGCATTTGATGGCACATTGTGGGTTACCGGTTTTGTTGTTCTCCCTATTTAGTCAGAAGTCACTGTAACCCTTTTATGTGGGGGGTTGTTTTGCACAGTAACAAGGATCAGACAAACACATTTAAAAATTTGAAAATAGGATATTCTAGCCTCTAAATTTGGAAGGGGAATGCAGAGGCAGGTATAGTACTTTAAACTACTTGTAATTCATTATTTCCAAAAGATGAGATTCCAAGTTAGTTTTATTATATTCTTCTTTATTAAATGTACATCAGAGCATATACAAGATGTACTATATGGTCAAGTTCAGGAGGTAGGAAACTTAAAACTTTATGGTTGCTATCATTTCGATGGAGATAATTTTCTGCTAGGCAGGGTTAACAGCAAAAGCATGTCATTTTGCATTGTAATGGTTGTATCTTTGCAATGGGAAAAGAGAAATTTATTTGTAAAGCATTAAAACTTAGGTATGTGAGCTTTTCAGAATGCAGTAAAATTTCAATACCCATGGCTAAACAAGTGTATTTAGATTATGTTTTTAAATGGGAAGCGTGTGCTTTTTTTCCCATTACTCTTGTCAAGTTCAAGAGTAGATGAATGAAACTTCTTTCTCTTCCAATCTTCCCTCCGTCCATCCCTCCCTCCCTCACATTAAAAAAAAAAATCACCATTGCTTTGAGACCAATCATGGAAATTTTCAGCCCCCCAAGGAAATGTCATGAAATATGAGCAGCTGAAAACATAGGTATTGCTGAATTAGCTACACCTTCTGATTCTTTGACTTTAGGATAGTGATCAATTGGTCCATGTCTAGTTGGCAGCTGGTATCAAGCGGAGTGTCCCAAGGGTCGGTCCTGGGGCCGGTTTTGTTCAATGTCTTCATTAATGATCTGGAGGATGGCGTGGATTGCATCCTCAGCAGGTTTGCAGATGACATTAAACTGGGAGGAGTGGTAGATACACTGGAGGGTAGGGATAGGATACCGAGGGACCTTGACAAATTAGAGGATTAGGCCAAAAGAAATCTGATGAGGTTCAACAAGGACAAGCACAGACTCCTGCACTTAGTACGGAAGAATCCCATGCACTGCTACAGACGAGGGACCGAGTGGCTAGGCAGCAGTTCTGCAGAAAAGGACCTAGGGGTTACAGTGGATGAGAAGCTGGATATGAGTCAACAGTGTGCCCTTGTTGCCAAGAAGGCTAATGGCATTTTGGGCTATATAAGTAGGAGCATTGCCAGCAGATCAAGGGACGTGATCATTCCTCTCTATTTGGCATTGGTGAGGCCTCATCTGGAGTACTGTGTCCAGTTTTGGGCCCCACACTACAAGAAGGATGTGGAAAACTTGGAAAGAGTCCAGCGGAGGGCAAAAAAAATGATTAGGGGACTGGAGCACATGACTTTTGAGTAGAGGCTGAGGTAACTGGGATTATTTAGTCTGAGGAAGAGAAGAGTGAGGGGGAATTTGATAGCTGCTTTCAACTACCTGAAAGGGGGTTCCAAAGAGGATGGATCTAGACTGTTCTCAGTGTGGTACCAGATGACAGAACAAGGAGTTAATGGTCTCAAGTTGCAGTAGGGGAGGTTTAGGTTGGATATTAGAAAAAACTTTTTCACTAGGAGGGTGGTGAAGCACTGGAATGGGTTATCTAGGGAGGTGGTGGAATCTCCTTCCTCAGAGGTTTTTAAGGTCGGGCTTGACAAAGCCCTGGCTGGGATGATTTAGTGGGGGATTGGTCCTGCTTTGAGCATGGGGTTGGACTAGATGACCTCCTGAGGTCCCTTCCAACCCTGATATTCTATGATTCTATACTAATGAAGGCCATAAAAGGACTTTTTTAGAGTTACAAGTTGTAAATAGCTGGGGGGGGGGTTCAAGCACATCAGCCATATGTTCTTCTACATTATATTATTAACACTGCACATCACTATAATACAAGGAAGTCCCATCTAATCGGTCGGGAGACATACAGACCAATTCTCCTCTCATTGTTTTCTTACCAGAAACTCTTATTATTGGATTGGATTCTCAAAAGGAGTTTATGGGAGCTCGGAACCCAACTTCATTGAATTATAATAGAAGTTGGGTGGCGCATTCCCAGAAGCTCCTTTGAAAATACCAGGCACATTTACGTTCCATTATTATGTCATTGCCATCTTTGCTATTATTGCTTGTACATATTGCACACAAAGAGAAAGGGAACATAGCTTTGTGTGTTAACTTAAACAGTTTTGTGGGTTGATACTGATTTATGCAATTAGGAAAAGATCACAAAGCCAAGAGCCAAGCCATCTATTAAAGCAAGCAAATTCTTTATTGGGACACTTGTCTTTCTTTGTTTATGCTAAGGCCTAGCTTGCACTTAAAAAGTTTTACTCATATAACTGTCAGATGCGGGTAGGAGGTGATTTTTTTTTTAAGTTGACATCATTATGCCAGTAAAGCCCTAGTGTAGATGCAGCTATACTGCTATAAGGCACTTTATACTGGTATAACTTATTTTGTTTTGCCGAACCAGAATAAGCAATATTAGAATAAGCATTTTTATATGAGTTAAACTGCATCCTCCCAAGGGAGTGGGATGTGTGTTAACTCTTTAACTATGCTGGCACAGTTAAAGCGATACAATTTTTAAGTGTAAACAAGACCTACCAAAAGCAACCAGAAAACTTTTTTTAAATCTATTTATTCATTTAGGAAGTTTAACAGGTTTACAAATCATTGCTATGTTAATATATCAGAGACCAAGTTGTAATCATTACAACAGTGAGCTTTTGTTAGAGGAAATATTATACAGTAAATATTGTAATCCGATCTCTCTATTTAGTAGGGTATTACTATATTATAAAAATGAACCTAGGACATGCCAGAAAACAAATTTAATCACAATAGAAAATTTGTATTTCTTCCTCCCTGTGAGATTTCTTCTTGAAAATAAGGAAGAAAATAAAGGGAGTAAGAGATCAAATAAATCTTTGCTGCAGGCAATTTTAAATTCTGCATTTTGTGAGACCTTTAACCTAGGGAAATTGTGACTCAAGCCATCAAAGGGTTAACCATTTAATATCTACGAAAGGGACAATGTACATGTGTTTTGCCCACAGCATGTTGGTTGGTTACCTAGAGTTTGTTTCAAGATTTGGCTCCATTAATTAGTATAATTCTGGGGACTTCTGCACTCTGGGAATACTTACTGCTACTAACATCAAAACAAATAGTGAAACATTTCTCTCTGTGTGTGTAGACATAATGGTCACCATCTAAAGATGTGTGATGACAGTCAAAGCTGAAAAAAAAAGTTTCATTTCCATGAAGAGGCAGTGGTAAACCACAACACCAAGTACAAATCTAATGTAATGTTGGTTTCTGTGGGCTTGTCTTCACTGCAGTTTTAGCTTGAGGTATAACAAGCCCACAACCCAATTCCCATCCACAAACACACATTTCTAAGTCGAATGAAGTGGTGTTTTAAATTCTTGTTAGCTGGCCCATTGCTGGGGGCGGGGGTGGTTTGAAGCTGACAGGATGCTGACACACAAGCCAGTAATGGATTGGGGATGCAGCTGCAGCTCAGGTTAGCTCAACTGCTAATCCAATCACTGTACTAATCAAGTCACTCTATGGGTATATCTACACTGCATCTGGGAGTGAGTCTCCCCGCCTGGGCGAACAGACGCTCACTAGAGGGGCTTGAGCTAGCATGCTAAAACTAGCAGTGTGGACGCTGTGGCTCCTACGGAGACTCAGCCTAGCCACCTGAGCTCAGTTCCAGGGGTTCGGTTAGGTGTGAGAGCCAGAGCTGCCATCTGAGCCACAGTGTCCACGCCACTATATTTAGTGCGGTAGCTTGAGCCGTGCCAGCTCAAGTCTGTCTACCTGGCCTGGGAGGCTCATTCCCAGCTGCAGGGTAGACAAACTATGTGTGACTTGAGTGTGTTTTTGCAGCGTGGCTGCTCTAACTTGAGCTAAGCACGCCCGAGTGGGGTAACTAGAGTATAGTCACTCATACATGTTGCAGTGAAGGGGCAAGCCCAGTGTACACAGTGCTGATGTCGTGTTACATCTAGTAGCGAGTCTGTGTTCCACACCTTCTTGTTGAATGCTAAATACATGGACTGGCTGAAACAAAATTTGTAAGGCAGGAACTAGTTATTTAAAGCAAAAGCACAGACAATTTGCAGCCCAGGAATGGTGATGGCAGGTTGCAGAAACAATACAGTTGCCATTTAGCTGACAGAAGGGTACAAAAAGGAGACAGAGCAAGATTAATAGTTAGGTAAAACAAGCCTTAAACAGGTAAGACTGTCTGAATTCACTCCAAACCAGATTTGTCTTCTCTAACATCAACGCATGTATTGTTCCTAAGCAAGTCTGACCATATGGTTCTTATTAAGTTGTCCCTTAGCCAGATGTTTTTGTTTCTGCCATTAGAAAAATGTTAGAAGCAGGTTGAAAATGGTCCAGAAATTCTTGTGTGTATTGCAGGATCTGAGAGTTATTTCTGAAGGGTTCAGTCCTTCTACTTGCACCTTCTTGTGTTTCATTCTCAAAGACAGTAGCATGCTCAGAGGTAATCTTCACACCATAGAACTAGTGCTGTAAGGGATGGCAGAGTTCTCTTGTGTGAATTGAAAGTTACTCTGTTCTCATTTTCAATTTTCACACAGTGAAGTGAAGCTGACTGTGGCCTCTTTCCTATCTGACCGAATTGTGGATGAAATCCTGGATGCACTTTCACATTGTCATCATAAACTGGTGAGTTTTTGCACAGTTCTGAGTAGTTCAGGGTGTCTTACCACCACCACCACAGCATTCATGACTTGCTCACTTTCTTCTTCTCACAGCTACATTTCTAAATCTGCCTAATTTTCATCAGCAGCATCATTTGAAACATGGTCATAGGGTGAATAGTCCTGGTTTAAGGAGAAAACAGCCACAGAAGAGGCTGCATTACTTAGCTGCCTTACTATCTCTTGTATGAATTATCAGATCTGAAACCAAAAACGGCTTTGCAAAAACATATATTCACTAGTTAAGGAGACAACTACTGGCTGTTGTAGTGAGACATTAGGCGTTTCAATTGAAATAAAGTCAGATTTCATTCTTTAGGAGACTGTGGAGCAAGCTGTAGAGACCTTACTTCCCAAACCTGTGCATATTCTGAGGCTACTTCAGAAATGTGAGGTCTTGGACTGGAAGGTGTATCTATGTAGAAGATAAAAATGTTCAGCTATTTACTGGAAGACGTTCTGCTGTCAACCACTTACTGTAGATGTACCTGCTTCCTGAAGATTAGAGAAGATATACTGCTGTATGTCTACAGATCAGCTTATGGGCTCCTGTACATTAATTGTTATTTTTAGTGGAGAGCGAAGTAGATTATTGGACTCAGACCCAAGTTTGATGAGGGTGGGAGGAGCTAATGCTGGATTGTGCAGAGTTGTATAAAAAGAGTGGCAGCAATAGCAAAAAACAAACCAATTTCCAAAACTTTCCAGAAGTTCCACTGTGAGTCAACATTCCAAGCGTAGGAGCAGCATTGGCAGCATCTTTGTCACTGCTTTGTTTTGCTCATCCATATTTTTTGTCAGGGAAATAGATTGCATCATTATCAATAGAAGACAGATTTGCTTTACTATTATTGGTGCTCCTGCTGTTGTGAAATGCCTCCTTTGTAGCTCAAAGTATAAAGCTATTGAATGTACAGACATTTGAAGAAACACACAGTAGTTCCACATGGGAACTATCCAGTTAGATTTCAGTCTACCTTGTTTTCTATATCACTGGCATGTTAAGAGAGAGAATAACATTAAAAACATTAATTTTAAGGCTTATTAAATATGCAACATGTTACATGTAGGGGAAATTTTATACCAAGTATTATTAAAAACAGCTGAGGATTCATGTAGAGTCCTTTCTGAGATTACGAAAGGCTAGTCTCAAACAGAAACTTTTGCTTCAAGTGTGAATGCTTTAGGAACAAACAAATTCAAATGGCCCTAACCTGAATTAAGCCCAAGGTCAACCTATCTCCCATTCTATGTTAGAGCTTTAAAATCATACACAATACTAAGTGTAGTGTGACATTTCATTTTACATTGAAACCAGGTCTCTGATTATGGTATTTAGTGGGCATACAACACAATGTCACAATTTTTTTTTAATCACTTGCTGGCCACTATCTTGGGCCAGCCTGTCAGCAAATGACTCTGTTGCATCAGTGACCAATCAGGGATCTTTGCTGCCAAATTCAAATATCAGCAGCATCCTGAAAGTTCTTCTAAGCCCAAGGCAGGATCCAGAGACAGAAGCACGAGAGAGATCTGATTTCTTACCAGACTGTTGCCCCAAGGAGGACCATTACTGCTACCCCAAAGGGGCCAGAGTCACCATTACTGCATGAGGACTGACTGTTTAGAAAATAACCAGCAACAGCTCTCGGCTGGGTTGAATTGAGAAGCAGGAGGAGGACCACAGCAGAAACCCCAGACCTGAGACCTGCCAGATAAACCCAACACAAGACCTTGGAGCAGATAAAAGCCCCTAAATCTGAACTGAAGAGACCCTGTGTGAGAGCCTGATTGGAAACCAGTCAGCAGATGCCAATCAGAGGAACCCAAGGCGACTGCAGATGGAATGGGAATGATTCCTATTCCACAGCTGGACGTGAAAGAAGATTCAGCACCATCAGTGACAGCATGCGCTGGTCACTGCAGCCTCTCAGTTCCCAGATGGCTGCACTGATGTTTGTGAACATTGTTGGGCCATCAATCAGACAGCTTGGTTCAGAAAAATATATTGGATCAGTTCTTAGTAGGGAAAGGTGCCACTGCATGCAAAGCACACAGAAAAAGACAATCCTAAAAAAACCTATGCAATCAACTGGTGGGAATCTTGTAGGCAGAGTATACCCACACAGTTTCTATTCCGATCCTGGACTGAAACTGAGTTCAGTGTTCTCCCTTCACACCCTCATCTTCTTGTCATGCTTCCCATATGAATGTGCTCACAATCTTTAAAATGTTAACTTTAGACATTTTCTATTGACAATTCATCATAAGGCAAATCCAAAATAAGATCCTGTATTGACAAACATTTTAAACTGATACACCTCTGTGGTTTATATTGCTTGTAACGCATACTTTTCTCCCAGTGTTAACATTAGCAGGGAACGTTTTCAGGTCAACATTTTGAGCACTATGTTTCATACATTTTAAGGCCAACAGTGACCATTGGATCATCTAATCTGACTTGCTGTATTTCAGAGACCGTTACCCCTGTACTGAGCCCAATGATTTGTGTTTGACTAAAGCATATCTTCCAGAAAGGCATCCAATCTTGACTTGAAGACATGGAGAATTTACCGTTTGCCTTGGTAGTTTTTTCCAATGGTTAACCGCCCCCACTGTTGAAAATTTGTGCCTAATTTGAATTTGTCTGACTTCAGCTTCCAGGTTCTTGTTATGCCTTTCTCTGTAAAACTAAAAAGCCCTTTAAAACACAGTATTTTCTCCCCCTGAAGGTACTTTTATATTGTAATCAAGTCTGTTTTCCATCTTCTTTTAGATAAAATAGACTGAGCTGATTAAGGCTATGTCTATACTATAGACCCCATGCGAGTATAGACCCTTAATATAAACACAGCTTACACTGACAGAAGGAGTTTTTCTGCCAATGTAGGAATATCACCTCCCCAAACAAAGTTAGCTATACTGATAGAAGCACTCTTCTGTCAGCACAGGTGCATCTACACTGCAGGTTTCACACCCCTGATCAATATAGCTATCCTGATGTAAGTTTCGAGTATAGACCATGCCAGAGTCCCTGTAAGGAGTTTTCTACAGCAGTGCTTCTCAAAGTCGGGTCGCTGCTTGTTCAGGGAAAGCCCCTGGCGGTCCGGGCCGGTTTGTTTACCTGCCGTGTCCGCAGGTTCGGCCGATAGCGGCTCCCACTGGCCGTGGTTCGCTGTTCCAGGCCAATGGGGGCTGTGGGAAGCGGCGCGGGCCAAGGGATGTGCTGGCCGCCCTTCCCGTAGCCCCCATTGGCCTGGAACAGCGAACCACGGCCAGTGGGAGCCGCGATCAGCCGAACCTGCGTACGTGGTAGGTAAACAAACCAGCCCGGACCGCCAGGGGCTTTCCCTGAACAAGTGGCGGCCCAACTTTGAGAAGCACTGCTCTGCAGTCCTCGTATTTATGTATCTCTTCTGCATCCTCTCTAATTTGTCAACATCTTTTTAAAATGTGGACAGTATTCCAGTATCGGTCTCACCAGTGCTGTAGACAGAGGTAAAATCTGCTCTGTATTCCTACTCACTTCTTCCCTGTTTACGTCGCTAAGGATGTCATTAACCCTTTTTGTCACAGCATCACAATGGGAGCTCATGTTCAATTGCATGTTCATTTTGAACCATAAGTCCTTTTCAGAGTCAGTTTTCCAGGGTAGAGTTTCTCATTCTGTAGATATTGCCAGCACTCTTTGTTCCTTAATATATGACTTTGCATTTGTCTGTAGTAAAATGTCTTTTATTTGAATGGGCTCAGAGTGGATTGCTCTGTATGATTGCCCTGTTCATTTAAGTATTTGTTACTTTTATGCAGTTACCTTTATCAACTTAGCTTGTCATCTCATCAAAAAACGAATTCAGGTTTGGTTGACAAGATGTATTTTCCTCAAAACCGTATTGACTGGCATTAATTCTATTCCCATTCTTTGATTCGTTATTAATTTAATTTCATATCAAGTTTTCCATTGTTTTGCCTAGGATAAATGTCCGGTTAGCTGGCCTATAGTTACTCTGGTAGTCCCACTTACCCTTTTTGAATATTGGCACAATGTTAATACTCTTCCAGTGTTTTGGAATTTCCCTGGTATTCCAAGATTCATTAAAAATTGAACCTCAGTGGGCCAGAGATCTTCTTAGACAACTCTCTTAGAATTCTTGGGCTCAAGTGATCCTGGCCTACTGATTTAAAAATATGTATCCTGAATGGGTGCTGTTTAACATCCTCCTTTGTTACTAATGGACTGGAAAGTACTTCATCATCCTCATGTCATATGAGTCCATCATCCTACTTCTTTCCAAATATAGAACAGGAATATTTATTGAACACTTCTGCTTTTTCTGCATCATTAACCATTTTAATATCTCCTTCTAGTAATGGGCTTACACCATTTTTAGATTTATTTTCTTTATTTTGGGGGGGGAGGATAGCTCAGTGGATTGAGCATTGGCCTGCTAAACCCAGGGTTGTGAGTTCAATCCTTGAGGGGGCCACTTAGGGATCTGAGGCAAAATCAGTACTTGGTCCTGCTAGTGAAGGCAGGTGGCTGGACTCGACCTTTCAAGGTCCCTTCCAGTTCTAGGAGATAGGATATCTCCATAATAATAATAATAATTCTTCCTAGTATACTTTTTTTTAAAACTCCTCCTTAGCCCTGCCAGACATAGATTTATCCCTGATGTCTTTAGCTTCCCTTATTAATTTTCTACACTTCATAATTTCTAATTTATACTGATTGCTATCTAGTTCCCCTTTTTTCCATTTGTTTAAAAGAAAAACAGGATAACTTTGAGTAAATGCCATCCTGGTTCAGCGGAGAAGTGAAGGCATCAATTAGGTATAATATTTATTAGATATCATTATTTATTATAAAGATATAATATTTACATTTACCCAAAGTTGTCCTTTTTCTTGATTATAGAATCATGGCCGTTTGGCCATCTAATAAACTCTTCTTAAAAAATTCTTCTTAAAGAGCATCCCAATCATTTTTGCTCATGATTTTCCTAAGCCGTGAGACATTAGCCCTTTTAAAACACCAAGTGTTGTCCTCTGTTTTGCCCATATTGAATGTAATCAGATCATGATCACTGAGCCGTAGGCAACCACTAGCTTCCAGTCCAGTGATTTATTCATCATTATCCATCATAATGAGGTCCAAAATAATTACCCCATTTTGCCTGCAAATTTTTTTTATATTAGAAAAGAGGCAGCACTTGTGATTCCTACATTTATTAGTGAAAATCATTTAATCCTACTTTTTTTCATTGGTTGAGTATACTAGCAATTTGTACATTTGTTACAGTAGCTTTTAAATGAAATGGCTTTAAAATGTTCAATATGGTATGAGGTTTTTTCTCTCCTTTGGGTGTTTTTATTTCCATAGTCCAGATAAGCAGAGTCTCTTACTGTGTGATTCTCTATTAGCCCTCTTTTCTCCCCTCCTCCTTCCCCACTATCCAGTGTTATGTGATGAGGGGATAGTTCTGCAGGGAGATGGGGAGGCTGGGGCCCAGATGCAGAGTTGAGCTTACCCATTGTTCACCACCTATCATCACCTGCAGTGCACAACCATTCTGCTAGTTGTTATGGGGTTTGTTTTTTTTCCCCCTCAAGACTTCTGATCAGTAGTTTCATCTCTTGATCCTTGTTGTCTAGGCTGACCATTTGAGCAGACGTGGTAAGACACTTCCAAATCAGGAGTCACTGGAGATTGAATTAGCTGAAGAGAAACCAACTAAGCGCTCCACCATCACAGTAGAGGATTTGACTGAGATAGAACGTTTGGAGGATCTAGACACTTGTATGGTAAGACACTTTTCTTCAGTCCATTGGTTAAAAATCTAATCTGAAAAGGTCCTTATGCAAATTTCAGTGGGCAGTTTTTATTATATCAGGGGAATGAAATTAGGAATTTGGCTCAATAAAAATAAATAATTGTAGTAGGCAGAACAAAACATTATCCAAACCAGGTATAGATGAGTGGAAGGAAAAATCTTTCCTTTTCTTTGTTCCATTATCCATTTTCTTATTCATATTCATATTTATTTTCATATTCAGAGATTTTCTCTTACAAGATAACATCACTTGCCCATGTTCATACAATACTGCTAATATAACAGATACCTCTTCTGCAGAGGTGCTGGTATATGGCGCCGTGATGGCAGCGATAAATCAGACTATGCTACTTTGGCACACTATTTCCTGTCACAACATGCTTCTCTCTGCCTCTGTTATGCTGATGGCCATGAACTGCAGATGATTTTTATATATATGGATGAAGTCTGAAGCTCTTGCACATGTAATAGGACTACAAAGGGTGTAGAACTAAAGATGGTGTTGGGTGAGATTTTCAAAAGCACCTGCATGATTTAAGAGCACATCTCATTGAAATGCAATGGCACTAGTGCTGGTAAATCACTTTGAAGCTTTTTATATAGTGTTTGCATAAACATTTTAAATAAATTACCTCTAGTCTCCATGCCATATCTTGAATCTTCACAGATGCACTTCAGTAGGCTGCAAACTGTAATTAATATTCTTTACCCTATTTCTTTTCCAACTCATTGTGGACATTTTTTTGCTCAGTGTGGTGTTTGCTGTAGAGGTGACATCCGTTGGAAGCAGCAACTTAAATTAATTATAGTATTCGCTCCCATGCCTGGCACCTAACCAAAGTTTGCTTTGAGGCAGCATGTATCTCAAACACCAAAAAATCCCATTTTCCTCCCTTTGGGGCATTGTCCTTTAAAAGAGTCATCAAAGATTCTCATCACCAATCCTCTTGAATTCCAGAAGCGTTCTGCAGCCAACCATCAGTTTAGGTGTTTAACGATTGCACTTAATGGTGGCCCTGAGGGCCAGCGTCATAAGACACATCACACTTTAGCACAATATTGATTGTGCCTGTAAATGAACTTAAACGTATCAGATTAGTATGCAGAAATCTATGGTAATTGAAATATCTGCTCTTAGAATTGTGCTTTCAGTATGAAAATGCTTTCCGGGTAGGGTTTTTTAAAGCAAACATTGCCTTTGTTTCTGTCATCGTACAATTTATGTAAGGGGACCATGCTAGTCTTTTATCTTTTTCTTTACTCATGTAAAAAAAAAAAAGGAAAATATGAAGTCACATATTGAATATTAACTGTTTGCACCTTACCTAGAGCAGCTGTTTTGAAGAGTATTTAATATCCCTGTCTTCCTCTCCATTCATACAACTTAATCACATGGCTGAACCCCTTTTGTAGTTCTGCTTCTCATTGACATCAACTTTCTGAGGGGAATGAAATTATATTTCAAATAAATACACTGTATACAGGAGCTCTGATCTCCCATGGTGCTAAAAACTCCATTTGTTCAAAAATTAATGTATCAAGTTTCAGATATATATTACTGAGCTGGGAAATTCATATAAGGGCTGTTTTTGCAAACCAGGTGCCTTCATTGTGCATTGTGGTATTGATTGCACTTGTATAAGAAGTGACCCTGAGAGACAAACTCAGTAATGTGGGCATACCAGCCTTGCATAGTGCTGGTGTCAGTTTGTTGATGTTGTTGTAAGTGTCCTAAGAATAGATATCTTAGCTTCTCATTCCATCCAGGTTAGCTTATATCATGGCTGGTTCCAGATGGGTCTATTTTAGCTGTATGAATTCTGTATATATTTCAGACATGGCCCTTGAAAAAATTTGGATATAGAATGTGGTAAAAGAGAAGTTTCCATTATATTACAGTTTCATAGTTTTCCCAAAGCCATTTATGTTTAGTTTAGAAAAGTTCATCCTGTGGGACCCTGTTTTATATGCATCAATGAAACTTTGGAAATTAGTCAATGCAAGAAACAAATATATTAATGAAAGGTTCTAAGAGGGAATAAAAAATGCACATGATTTGTGAACCATAACTTAGTTTATTTTATTAGCATTGAATGAGAAATAGTTGCTTAACCCCAACTTCTAAAACTTTGTTAATTATATAGATCATTAGCTCGTTAGTCCCTTAAACATCTATTTAAAGTAGTTTTTTTTATGCTGACAGCCTAAATGCTCCAACAGACCAGAGCTGTGTGAAATACTCTCTTCAGATCTCAAACTCATTCATGCTGAATTTGGGTTTGGTGTTCAGTCTGAATCTCAGCCCAGGCTTTCACTAACATCTATCCCTTTTCCCCAAGGAGCTCCAAAGACACCTGTGATAGAGGAGGCCAAGGAATTGTTGGAGAGGGAAATATAAGTGTTGAACTTGAAACCGCCAATGTTCTAGAGGGGCTAATTGACGTCCATCTGTAAATGGGACCCTGCCGTATTTAGGCAGTCCTGTGAGATATATATTTAGATACAATCAGGATGAGGGAAGGTGGTTGGATGAGGAGAGATCTCCACCAGCCCAGTCCAGAGACGAGAGTTGCTATTCATCTATGAACTTTCTGTATCAGACAACAGAATAGAAAGGAGTGCAAGGAATGTGGCTTTGAAAATGACTATTAAAAATAGAGATTTGAGTTTTATTTTCAGTATCTGCCTGTAAAGAATTAGAAAGTGTTTAATACTGTACATTTACAATGCTACAGAAGCTATTCAGACTTGATTCCTAGCCAACATGTCATTATGGCCACAAACCAATAATTTGAATGACTTGTCAGCCGCAGGAGAATTTGCCACTATATTCTGGAGAACATTGGGAATGATTGAATGGTCCAATACAGAACAGGCTAGCTTGATCATTATTGACCTGGGAGTTTCTGATCTCCCTGAGTTGCAATATAGTAAGTTGATGCTACCCTGATCTGCAACTATCATAGCTGTCTAAATTTAATTAGATCTGTATTTATCTAAAGGCCTATTATGATCAAAGTTGTGTGTAAGTAAGATTGAATGTGACAGCTTTGTTGTTTTATGCAAAAGGCCACTTAGTCTGCTCAGATGAAAGGAATAGGCACAGACTTTTTGAAAGATTTGAGTCAGTAATGAAGGTTGACTTAACTTAATAAAATTATACGTTTTCTCAAATTTTCTAGAAGTGTGAGACAAAATTGACACTTTTTAAGCAATGATGCATTTTACCACTGGCTTAAAATAAATCACCCATTTTAACCTAAGTAGAATATCAAGCATATCTGCATATCTAATTTTTTCAGCAGACTGACTGATTAACTTTCCCTACAAAAGGGAACTATGTACATTGTTTGTTCATCCTTTATTCTTTCAACACAGGAGTTATTCTTCCTCAGGACTGGGGTTTTTAAAGGATGCTTGAAAGCTGATCTTCTTTAGAATGGACAAAATATAGCTATATTTCAAAGAAAATTATTGAGCTATTTGAATATTTTTTTGTCCCTAGAATATTAAGAAATTACCATTTTTGAGCTATTATTTAAAAAGCAGAGAAGTTATGAGTGGAATATATCCTGTACTAGAAGACTATCACATGTTAGTGATCTTGAAAATACCCATTCCAACAACATAGCAGTGTTACTCTCAGTAATACAGAGTGTAAGGCCAGTGTAAGATTGTCTGCTTTTCTCTGGGGAAACTTTCTGTTAATTTACATTCCTCAGGTATAATAGTAATAATAATGATTAATAGGAAATTATTTCAAAAAATTTCAAAGAAGTGCAGGTTGTAGCATATGTATCTGTTTGTGAAATCCTTTTAATAATGTTCCTGTGAAAGACTGAAATATTTGGGCTGTGAATTATTAATTCACTGTTTGTGTAACCCATGCCTGCTGGGTGTGGTGCTCTGTCTCCCTCTAGTGACACCTAGACCAATTAGAGATTTATGAGTCTGCTACAGCCTTAGCCAAGAGCTGTGTGGCTTTTAGCTCATGCAGTAGAGACTAATGCGCTAAGGTTCAGAGGTCCCAGGTTCAATCCCGCCTGCTGATAAATGGTTACATTCACAGCTAATAAAAATGGCCTGCCTCAATGAATATCAAATCTGCTTTTTTAATACTATAAATATACAATGGTGGCTCTATAGGAAAATGAAGGACGGGTAGGAAACTTCAATGAAATGTAAGCAATAGCTTAATATTGTAGTCTTTCAGTGACACTGCAAGATAAAGAACAATTTCTATAAAGGAACAGAAGACTAGGGGAAAGATAGCACTTGCTTTGGGATATGCTAAAGAGCAGGGCCGGCTTAACAAGCAGGTGCTTGGGGCGGCCAAGGGAGAGGGGCGGCACCTGCGGCAATTCGGGGGCAGCAGGTCCTGCACTCCCTTTAGGAGCGAAGGACCTGCCGCTGAACTGCCGCCGCCAATCGCGGTTCTTTTTTTTTTTTTTTTTTTTTCGCTTGGGGGGCAGAAATGCTGGAGCCGGCCCTGCTAAAGAGCAATTGTGACCCAGATCTAGCATATAGGTTCAGCGCTCAGCAACAGACCTGTGATCTTGGAAGTCTTGGAAGATAAGACAAACGTATATTTCTCTGCTTTTAGAGCCAAATATAAAACACACGTCTTTAATCTACATTTCCCACAATGACACATTTAAATAAAACATTCACAAAGCACCAAAAATAAAAAATCCAGCCCTTTCTGACTGTGGAAGGAAAAGAATGAGCAATATATCTTGTACAATTTTGGAAAGTGCTGTGATGCCATGTTGATTGGGGCAGATAAGAACAAAGCTAGTGACTGTCAATGTGTTTACCGTGACTCTTCACTGATAACCTATCCTCCCACACCCCTGGCTTCTCACTTCCCATTTGTTTGCTTATTCACCTGCTGAGTGATTGACTGAATCCTACATTGGGAGCTCTCTGGAACAGGGACTTTCTTTGCTGTTTGTGCAGTGGAGTCCTAAT